GGCTCAAATTATCTCTGTGCAGATGCTCTTACCCTTAAATACGAGTTTCTTGTTCCGAATTTGGGAGTGGATTAAACATCATTCAGAATGAGGCACTCCTATTTTGAAATAGGAGCGTCCACACAGGAAGCTGTTCTCAAATAGCTACTCCCAATTAACAACTCCCCATGCAAGCACCAAGCCCTTAAGCCTGGGGAAATTCATTTCCATTATTTACAGAATGGCTCTCCAGCCCCTGCCACAGGTTTTCCTTGATACTTAAAAGACAGAATACAACGGCCTGAAAAGCCAGAGCTACAGTCCTGATTCACATGCCCTATGCTGGGAGATGTTATTCCCAGTTCTGCTGGGCTGTATGTCTTTCCTCTGCAGCTTGTATGGATCATGGTGGGCTGGTGTTCCTAGAGGAGTGATAAAGGAGGGACACCGCGCTGTGTATGAGAGATGCTGGATGCAACAGAGCAAGTGACTGGAAAAGGCAATAAAAGGGGAACCTGCAAAAACCAGGAGCCACCCGTCTCCCTGTGAGGGGCTGGAAGCCACTGCGCTCAATGCAGAGAAGATCAAGTGCATCCCCCCCCCATCCCAGAAAGCTCTGATGCCGTCTGTGTAGCAACAGCTTTTCCCTAAAAAGATCCTGGCAGGGTTGGGTCTGTGAAGTACAAGGGACCCTGAGTGGAAACTTCCATTGCAATGCATGGGACCTCCCCAGAGGGACCTGCAGAAAACCCATGCAGGAATTCTCTGTCCCTGCTATAAACAGGCCTCCCAGCACGTCAGAAACAGACGGTCAGCTCGGCACGTCCCCACTCCCTGATAACAGGTCTGCTCCAAGGGGCATAAATCTGCTGCTGGAACGAGGGATCTGGGGTTGGCCGAACCCTCAGACTCCAGAAGAGGCCTGGCTCAGGAACAAGGCAAGAAGTGGGAGTGAGAAGTGAGGCAGGGGAGGGGGGCAGGGTCCCCATGTTCCTCAACCCAGGAGGTAACAGATCCAGTGTCTGATGTAGCCAGGCCCAGGACAGCCAGTTCTGCAAGCACAACTTCCCCAGGCTCGCACAGAGCACATTCAGCAGGCAACGTTCCCATACTCCGCCCCAGGAGAAGGCTCGGCAACTCCTATCTCTCCCCACTGGCCACAGCATGGCAGACAGACATGAATTTTGTCTTGGGCCAGACCCTGGCCAAAGAGGAGACAATACGCCATGCCGCTCCACATCGTCTTGGGCCCCAGCAACGCCTCAGGGCAGCCACCCATTGTGCCAGTGATAGTATGGACTCCCAGCACCCAGAGGGGGCCTCAGGGCAGCAAAGAAAAGGACAAAAGCCAGAGCCACTGGGAAGCCCAAAGCTTTCCAGTCCCACTGCGGTGCCCAGCAGGGTCATGGCGAGACCACGGCAGGCCTGGCTGTCACTGCGCTGCAGCCTCCCGTGGGATTGTTTGGGAACACGGTGGTACCTTTAAAGCAGCCAGAATGCCAGCCAGAGGCCTGTGGGCAGCAGGATCAATCTCTAGGAAAGGTCAGGAGAGTATTTTTACATGGTGTGTCAGCCCAGGCAGGAGGGAGGGCTCAGCCCCAGATGAGGAGGAGGAATGGGACACAACCAGGCCCATCCCCCAATCCATCCATCCCCCCCATCCCCTTCCACCCAGGGCCAGGGTCTCCTCTCACCACAGACAGACCGACAGCCCTTCCTTGGCACCCCCTGCCCCACTTCATGGCAGTCAGTTATGGAGCCCACCATCCCCACCCACCCCTACTAGGCAGGTCTCTTCCCCAGCACACTGCCCACAAGGCACAACCACCCCCACCACCCCCATCCAGACAGAGATGGACATCGCCTGCTCTGCTCTTGCTCGGAAGCCAAAATCTGAAGGATAAGGCCCAAATGCTGTGGAGGGTGACTTCTTACACAGCCACCAATTGCCTTGTGGGGGGTGGGGGGAAGACCGCAGGCAGGAGTGCTCGCCAACAAGTCTGACTGTCGCCGAAGCCGGCTCCAGTTCTGCAGCCTGTTACCAGCACAATTGGGAGGTGCCAGACCTTAGGAACCCACGCCCAGGAGAAGGGGATTGAACCCCCTTGCTGAGAATAAGACCCCCGTAGGCCAGGACTGCAGCCCAGATGCTGATGGCACTCATACCTTTCCTCTGCTGCACACAACTCACCTGCAAGAGGGAAGCTGACTGGAAGGGGAGGTGGAGAACAATCAACCCAGCTGTCGGATGGGGAAGAGAGCGTTGCCCTTGTTGTGGGCAAGGGATTTGGCCCATCCCTTGGGCACACACTTACACACTGCAAGCTCACGTGCTTTCCCCTGGTTTGTTTTTCCGCCTCTCCCTTTCAAGCCCTGCCGGCCCTGGAGATGCCTAGCAAATCAACCCCTTTGCCCTTCACAGCTCACGTGGTTCCCCTGCAACAAAGAGCACCCCAGAGCCATGACTGCTTCCAGCCAGCCACCATGCACCCTTCCACGCCCAGACACCAGCACTCAACCTGGCTGTCCTCTCCACAGGTGCAAGGGGCCATGTACCAGGGGACAGAGCCCAGGGCGGAAGATGGGGCACCACTCGTGGCTCCTTCACTCTCTACACCCATTTCCTCACCCTTCTTGCTCAGAGGGTAGCATAAGTAGTCCAAGGCTGGCACCAGCTTCTGCAGCTAAAGGGAGTTCTCCTCCAACTACAGAGCCACCAGCCCAGCTGAGGGATGGGAACCCCTTTAGTCTCATGCCAGGTATGCTGAAGCTCTCAAGAACAGTGCATCCATGGGAGGAGATTGCCCACAGGCTGTGCTAGCTACCATGGGCCTTCCCACAAAAGCTAAGGAGCTGCACTCAGCCCTCAACACCACAGAGGGGTTTTATCCAGGTGTACCCAGGCAAACAGGCAACAGTCTGTAGGGCAGGGAATGTTGGAGGCTAACACCCTTCGCGAGGCAAGGGGAAGACTTATTCCAAACAGCAGTGGAGCGCCCAACAGGCTCCCCCTCAGAGGTGCCCGAAGACATCAGAAACACAGAGGAACGGGAGACCACACCCCACTGCTTGCCCACACTGCCAAGATCCTTGCCACTGAACTCAGAAATTCAGAGCCTGTGAAAACAAGCCAGTCTCCGCATGGCCTTGGAAGCAGTCAGGGTAAGCTGCAGAGCCACTAAGCCAGGGCAGGACTTGTCAGCTTTCCCAGAATCCTCCCTGCTTGGCCAGGGGTTTTCCTGGAAGTCTGGCCTCTTCCCCACCAGCCAGCAGAGCTGCCTTCCTGTTGTATCACCTCATAAAATATTACCCCGATAAGGAACTAGGTTGTTGGGAGAGTATAAATTTATTATACGTCTCTCCTGCCCCTGCCTGAGCTGTCCGAATTATTTAGGGGGCTTGGATCAACCTTCAACCCCCAAAGGAAAACAAAACAGACCAGATACTTTGGAAATCATGTGCTTTGCTTTCATATACAGGCCCAAATTCCTGCGTATTATTCACCCCCTGGCACGCCCCAAAGTGGGGCATTAGTGGGGAAGTAGCCAAGGACTGTCCCCTTTGGAGGCAGGAGTGAACTCTGTGCAGAGGAGCAATGACAAGGATGGGTCCACCAGAAGCCCTGGGGGATTTCCTGGTCTCACCTACTGCACAGCTGAGACCTGGGCTGGGAGCTGTCAGCCACTCTGGCAGCAGTTTGGGGTCAGGCTGCAAGCTGGGCCCATGGGGATGCATGTGGGAGACAGTCAGGCTCAGAGGGACTGACCCACTCCTCCATACCAGGGACTTGCACAGCTCCACACCTGAGCACACAGCACCCACATTGTACACGTGTGCATCTGCTGCCTCTTCCCCACACTACAGGCATGCACACACGCATCCCAGCACACCTTCATCTGCATACACACACACCTCCATCTGCCTCACTTTGAACAGCAAAGCATTAAACCAAGTCCAGGCAGACATAAAACCCCAAGGGCTTGTTATCCCCTCGAAGATCGATGTGCAACCTGAGCCAATCATGCAGGAGCTGCTCTGGCACAGCTGAGTGGGCTGTTTTGAGCCTCCCAGCTCCCTGCACACCAGAGAGAGAGGAGCATGTCTGAATTGCAACCAGGACTGACAGCAGAGATAGCAGGGCTGCAACTCTTCATGGAAGCAGGAAAGCGTTCCAGCTGACCTACTTTTTGTGGGCACTGCTAACAGAAGTGCCCGATGCTCAGGAGCTGGGATGCATCAGCCAGGAGCAAGGAAAGCTGCAAGCACCAGGAACAGGAAAGACCCCAAGGATTGGGATGGTGAGGCAGACTGAGGCACACAGTTCACTCCCTACTCAACCTTGCCTCCAGGGAGCATGAGGGGCACACCAAGTATCCCCACACAGACCCCATGTGCTTCCAGCTGGAACTAGAGTTCCCCTGATACAGCAAAGGAGTCATGGGGTCAAAGCAGCAGTTTGGGGCCTGGAGATGGTAAGGGAGGGGGTCTCTGAAGACAAGACTAGGACAAACTCCAACTAAGCTGGGATGCTTGGCAAGCCCTCAGGCCCTACCTCAGTGACCAGCATTAGACAGGCCAAATGCCTGAACCACATGCAACAGGGCAAGGCTCAAGAGGAGACTGCAGGTAACAGAGCAATACGCTGTGGAAGCCCATCCACCCTGCCCATTAGGCCTGATGTTCCATGCATGCCCCACAACCCAGGGCTGCCTGCCATGCTCTTGAGAAGCCTGGTGCCAGTAGGTTTCATGGTGCAAGGCCAATCCCCCATCCCTGCACTCATCACCAGGTCAGAGGGGGTCCTGCCAATGTGTCTCCAGCTCCACAGGCAATTGGCACCATTTCTCTCAGTCCTCATCACCTCAACATGCCAGCCACCAGAAACCATTCCCAGAGCTGCTATCCAGTGTACCATGGGCTGCAACTGCCCTCCTTGCAGCCCTCTACCTCAGGGCCCAGCCTATGACAGTAGCACCCAGGCAAGCTACCCTCAAAGAAACACAGCAGGAGGCACTACTTACCATTTCGTCCAGTGCATAGCGCAGCAGGCCATGCTCGTAGAGGATGAAGAACCGGCGCTGCCATTTCTGGAAGAGAAAAGACACAGGCCAGTTATTCAAGGCTCCTTTCTCCCTAGGGCTAACAGACCATTATGAACAAAACAAGGCTCCCTGCTCCCAGGTAGGAAGAAGAGAGCTGCATCCTTTCACAGAAGACAAGTCCAGCCACGGGACAACTTGGCTCAGACACTGCACTCTATAGCTCCCCACCAAGGCACAGCCCCCAGAAGACCTTGCTGCCAGTTGTATGCAGTTGGTGGCTCACAGGGCTGCTCACCTGCTTGCAAAGCCAGAGACAGTCCAAGCAAGGGATAGAAAAGGAAAAAAGAGAGACACCTGGAATAGGAGGATAAGAAACCAGGAATAGGGAAAGGCAAGGAGGCAGAGATAACAAGGAAGCTACTTTAAGTGACAGGGACTATAGAAGAAAAAGCTCTCGCACCAGCAGAAGGGACTTGACATGAAGACCGCTGGGCTGGGTTGAGATGTGCTTGGCATTTTAGGGTTTCCTAAGGAGGGAGCCTATTGCAAGAGCATCTAGGCTGGAACTCACCCTCTCCTATCCCAATACTTCAGCGAATCTGGCTCACCAGGCCACTGCCTCAGACTGCAAAGACAATCTGGCTGGGCACCACCGAGGCCAACACCCCTCAGGCCACATGGGAACAGCCATGTTAGAACTGGCAGCACTCAGCCATAGGAGCTGCTTGGCCTGCCAGCCCCATCTGCCCAGCAGGAGCCTGTTCCCAGCACCCCTCGCCAGGCATAACCCTTCAGCCTTCCCTTCTGGCACATGCTGATGAACATCACGGGGGATGGGTGCTTTGAAAAGTACCACTCTCACCAGGCCATCCTGCCAGGCTGGGGAAGCCTTGATCACACCAAGCTGAGTTTTCTGAAGCTGATTTACTGCCTGACTTCCTTACATGGGCATCCAAAAAGAAGCTGGGTTTTTCTTTCCTCCTCTTGCTGGCAAGTCTTGAGTTATGTCTGCACCATCTCAGATAACACAGGAAGTGGCTCAGAAGGACTGGCTCCGAGGAGAAGTGGCTCACAGGAGCAGCAGGGAGAAAGGGGAGGGGAGCACAGGAGCTAGAAGGGAGCTCAGAGGCTAGAGGGGCAGGAGGGCTCGGATTGACCACCCCCACCCCATGCCAAAAAATCCAAACCCCAATGGAAAACCTGGCCTAGAAACAGAGCAGAGCTCACTTTCCTCCCAGAAAGACCCCACCAGCCCCTCCACAGCTTCCCAGGATGCGTGGCCCACTGCCTGCCTCTGCTCTGTGGGAGACCAAACTGGCCTCAGTTGTTCTGACCTTCAGCCCCTGCCTGCCCTGGGTTTATCCTGGCATCATATCTGCTGGCAGCGTGGGAGGGAAGTCCAGCTTGCCTGGGACCGTGCAAATCACCATGGGACTGCAAGGTCTTCCCCACTCCTTCACCATTCTCCATGGCCCAGAGCTGGCAGATCTCACCAGAACAGTCTCTAGGCAATGCTGTGACGGCTCCCACAATTGCATGAGATGGCCACACACAGCCTCAGTGAGTGGCACCCTGCAGTCACCGCCCTATTTAACAGCTCCACTGGAACGCTCCAGGTGGGTGACGGAGGCACAAGTACAAGCTCCCTAATCCATCTGCGGGTTGCCAAAGTCCCAGCTTGCAGGAAGCTTGTACACTCCAAACAGCCCCATCTTCATAACCTGCTGCTCCCAGCACCTGGGAATTGTAAATCCTTTGGGACCCATTACCTGCCAGGCACTGCACTGCCCAGACTGACGAGCCCTGCAGATGGGCTCAGACCAATCCTCCAGGCACCTTCCAAACTGGTGGGGGGGGGGGGGGGGGGGGGGGG